GGGGCAGAAATGGGAAAATAGCCACTTTAAAGAGGCCTCAACTGTCAAGGGAGTTTATTCTGTAGTCAGCTGGGGCGCCCCTTGGGTTTGAAGAACCACTCCGAGCCTTGGATTTTGTAAAGTGCTGTTGAATTTTGTCATGCTTTTAATGCATCTACTGAAATGATAATGTGGTTTTCTTTTTTTTTTCTTTTTTCTGTTACTATCATAAGTTGCATCAGTTGGCGCTGAATGTTAAACCAACCTTGCATTCCTGGAATTGAATCCACTCAGGCATGATGCATTAGACTTATTATATGTTATTGAATTCAGTTTGCTGATATTTTGCTGAAGATTTTTGTGTCTGGGTTCAGGAAGGATATTGGTCTGCAGTTTTCCTGTAATTGCTTCATCTAGTTAACGATATGAGGGTGATCTTGGCAGTTTTGGTGTCCACGTTATACTGGCCTAATAAAATCACCGAGGATGGTGATTTTTCTCTCTCTGTGTTCTGAAACAGTTTCTGTATGTTGGTGCTATTTCTTCCTTAAATGCTTAATAATTTTCAGTTAAGATATCTTGGCATGATTCATTTGGGGGGTATTGTTTTATTTCCTTTTTTAGGAAAAACTTAAATTATGAAACCAATTTTGTGAATAGATATAGGGCTATTCAGGTTTTCTGTTTCTTTTTGAGTCACTTTTGATCATTGGTGTTTTTTTTTGTTTGTTTTTCTGTTTTGTTTTGTTTTTCAAGAAATCTGTCCATTTCAGCTAAATTGTCAAATTTATTTGGTAAAACGTTGTTCACAGTAACCCCTTATTTTCCTTTCAATATCTGTGGTCTTAGCGACGTATCCTCTTTCCTTCCTGATTGTGGTAATGTCCATCTTCCCATTTTTATTGATTAGTTAGAGGTTATCAACTTTATTGATGTTTTGAAATAACCAGTTTTGGTTTTACTGATTTCCATTGTCATTTTCTATTTCTTTCATTTCTGTCCTTTGTTACTTTATTCCTTCCATTTATGTTGGGTTTAACTTGCTTTTTTCTAGCTTCTTAAGGTAGAAACTTCGATGATCGATTTTAAACCTTTTTTTCCCAATTTAAACATTTAAAGCCCAAATTTCCCTGCAAGCACTGCCTAAGCTGCAGTCTATGTATCCTGATACGCTAGATTTTAGTTTTCATTTAGTTAAAATATTTTCTAACTTCGCCTGTAATTTCTTCTTTGAACTATGGTTTAATTGGAAGTATATTGTTTAATTTCCAAGTATTTGGAGATTTTTCAGGTATCTTTTTGTTACTGATTTTAATTTAATTATTTTGGGATTGAAGACGGTTTTTTATCGTTTGAGGCTTATTTTACAGCACAGCATATGATCTCTCAGCAAATATCTCACATGCACTTGAAAATAACGTGTGACCTTGAGGAGGTCGTGGACTTAACTCTGAATTTGAGGTTCCTTGTCTGAGGGGCACCCTTTGTCTTCCCGGTTAGAAACATGCAGCCGGGGGCTTTGAGATGTGGGTAGTTTTTGGTTCTGAGGGTGACATACCCTACATCCTGATCTTGCAGATGGCATGCGAGGCAGAGCACCGTCCCTTGGGTGTGTTTGAGTGCCAGCTCTGTGCCTTGACAGCTCCATACAGCTATGTGGGGCAGAAGCCCCCCAACACCCAGTCTGTCATGTGAGTATCAGTGTCCAGTGGCCCAGGAGTCCCTCACACAGAGCTGGGGGCATGAGTCTGACATGTAGCTTGGATGTTGGCTTTAGGCCCACCCTGCCCAGCTCTGGATGCTTCCATGTGACCTGAGGAGGCACAAGATAAGGCTTGAGGGCCATTGACTCTTCCAGAAACTACAAGCCCCTTCCTCCCCTCTCAGCCTTGAGTCCAGTCCTGCTCCAGCCAGAGAAGTGCACTGTGGCTCAAGCCGGAGCAGCTCAGCAGCTGCAGTGAAAGCAGCAAGGAGGCCTCCTCCTGGGGCTGGGCCTGGGGCCATTCTGGCTGGTTCTCAGCGGAAAGCCAGCCTGCCTCACTGCTCACGCACAGGATTCCTGAGGACCAGATTCCTATGATCTGCCCAGAGAAGGCCGGGGGCAGAGCCAGGCGTCCCAGGGCTTGGTTCTTGACCTTAGTTTGTCCTTCATCAAATGCCACCTTATAGGGAAGTTGACTAGTACATTACATAGGACAAGTGGTGGGGGCGAGGCTTTTTCCTGCTGGCTGCGGTCCTTTACTAACTGGGAACCAGGGGTGTCCTCCCGGAACCCCGTGGGCCTTCTTTCTGGAGTGTGGTGTGAGGCCAGCACCTTACACAGGTGTAATGCGCCTGGTTTTCCCTGCGTGGCAGCAGGCAGTTTGGGAATGGGCATCACCATGGGGGGGGGAGGGCTTGGAGAGCTTGGATGGAGGCCCTGTGGCCCCTGTCCCATCCAGTGAATCAGGTCAGGGCCCCTCTGTTGGCCGAGGAGTGGTGGAGTCCACCGTGGCTGCTTCAGAGCCGAGCAGGGGCCAGCCCCTCTCCCTCTGAGCTGGCACAGCAGGCAGCAGGCCCAGGAGGCCTCCACTGCTGTGGGCTTCTATCACTTCCGACACCAGCGTCACTTCCTGTCCCACAGCCTCCTGGAAGAGAGCTACGTCATGAAGGACCCCTTCACTCCAGACAAGGACAGGTTCCTGATCCTCGGCTCTAGGTGCAGCATCTGCAGCCGGCTGGTGTGTGTGGGCCCGGTGGGTAAGCCACGTGCAACTGGGGCCGCCTTCCCTCACCCCACCCCCCTTGGCTGGGACCCCACACCCGTGATTATGGGAGAAATGACACCTGATCCTTTCCCAGGGACGGTGTGAGTGCCGGCCTTTCCTTGCCACAGGAATCCTCAGATCCTCAGTTACTAGATGGGAGCAGGGAGTGGTTCTTAGAGGCCAACTGGTCTACCTCATTATGGATGGTCCCTCGGCCAGAGGAGGGCAGGGGACAGGCAGGGGCCATACTACCGTCAGTGGGTCTCTGGGTGCTGAGGGATAGAAATAGATTCTTGGAGGCTCTGCACCACCCCCAGGGGCCCTTCGTGGGCCCTCCCTTACCACAGGATGGTGACCTTTCTAAAAGTTCTTGGGACCTTCAGAGGAAGGGACCATGCTCTCCTGAGCATGTGTGTTGCCAGGCCCTGTTGTTGGGACTTGCTTTACCTGTGAGACTTCCTTCAGTCCCGCCCCAAACCTGGTCAGGCAAAGCAGGACCCCACCAATGTCATAGGAGAGGAAGCTGAGGCCCAGAGAGGCCTCGGTCTCCCTCTTGCTGTCCTGGCTCCGGCCACACCATTCCCACCTCCTCTCAGCTGCCCGGGCATCCTCAGGCCCTGCCCAGCCTCCTGCCCCGCGTGCGGTGAGGGGCTGGCCTCAGAGAAGCCACACCTGTGCCCCTTGTATTGAGCCCTCCCCCTCTTCCAGGAATGCAGCCTGTTCTACTCCAAGAGGTTCTGCCTCCCTTGTGTCCAGGAGAACGTCCATGCCTTCCCTCAGGAGATCCAGCAAGACTTGGAAAAGAGAAAAATTCCATCAAAGAGGCCCGCCGGCCATCCCGGCTCTCAAACCTGAGTGCAGCCCCTGTAGCCTGGGTCCGGGGCGGGGCTGAGCTGAGAGCAGCTGTGTGGCCTTGTTTCTGGGCCGCCTGGAGCAGTGGCTGGAGCTCGAGGGAGATGGAGTCCCACCTGCAGCGGCGACAGGGCTGGCAGCCACACAGAGGAGGCACCTTGTGAACCCAGCCCAGAGCTCCAGAGCTCTGCTCCGTGCTGGGCTCCCGCAGGAGCCCAGGGAAGCCAAGGCCCGGCCTGCTGGCCCCCTCACCTGGACGGGCTGGGCCTCCACCCTTCCTGCAGGGTCATCCCAGGCTGTTTGCTGCTCACACTTCGCCAGGCCTGGAGGGCTCAGTGTGCCCTTCGTATGATAGATCAGATCCAGGAGTTGTCTCCACGCGTCACCTGCTCTGCCGGGCACTGTGGACTCAGCAGTGCAGGGGCAAAGGCCTGCTGTCTTGGAGCTGCCCCAGTGTGGGGAGACCCCTTAGTCACGGGGTCAGGATGTTGCGTGCTGGTGCTTCCAGCCTCTCTTCCCTCTGGCTCCTGTTCCGGCCCCAGGCCCAGCTCCATTCCAAGATAGAGGGACGCTCTCTGCTTCTTTCCCTCAGCCCCGTGCCTCAGAGCCATTCTGTTGCTTGCCTGCCCCTCTCCACGGCAGACTCAGTCCTCGGTGCCTGTGAAGCCCACCCCACACCAGCCGACGTCCGTGGCTCCCCCAGGGCTCCCGTCTTCACAGCCCCAGCCTCAGCGGGGGTGATGCACCCGTGAGCTCACCTGTCTGCTGCTGCCCCGTCTCACTGTGCGTTTGCTGTGGGCCCCTCCTGGCTCGGGGTGTTAGAAACGTGAATAAAGAGCAGTTACCGGCTTTTGTTCTCAGGTTCCCTGCTTCATGTTACTGTACACGTGGCTGTCCCGTCCTGGGCCCACACCTGTCCGGGGCGCGTTCTGTGCTCTACAGCCAAGACCTCGGGTGAGCCGGTGGGCACGGGCCGATGGCGGGCAGACGGCACCGCCGGGGGTCCCGTTTACAAACCCAGCAGCTCCTCTCACAGCATCACTCAAAACTCACCAAAACATTTTTAAAAATAGTTTATTTTTTAAAACCATTAAGGCAAAACGGTACCCTGAAATTAACTCTTTACATTCATCAGTCTTACAGTAGGACATTCCAGATACGTAAGTTCCCACAAACTCAGGATATGAATCAACATACATGACCAGTGCCATTTCCTTATGGGAAAATGAATAAGACCCAAGATTTTGAAAAGTTAGTTACTTTATAGCCATTTCCTAATTGCCTGGCACCATCGGGAGTTGAGGAGGACTCCCTGGGCGTTTGCTGCTTTCCCCACGCACCCTGCTTCTCGAGGCCCTGGACCCCACCCCGACCCAGGGACGAGCGTCTTAAGTTGGGGTGGACGCTGGAGCCTGCTGGAAAAAACCTGCCTCGGATGTCTCCTGCGTAGCATCAAACGAGGGTCTGTCAGCCCCTAACTGCTTTGAGAGCGAGAGGGAGGCACCAGGAACGGTGACAAACAGGCCAGGAAACCAAGCGCAGGCCTTGCTCTGGATCTGCAGGGCCCCGATCGGGTCTCGGGGCAGGACAGGTACACGCGAAGGGAAACCGTGCCCAGGTCCGGGCAACATCGGGCGGAGGCTCCCGGGCCTGGGGGCTTTGATTCCTGCTTCCGCTTGGGCCACCGGAGGCTGCGAGACAACCAGCAGTGCAAATACCCCGTCGGAGGATTTCCGATCACAGTTCTTTGGCAATAACCCACAGGTCCTGATTCCCGCAGGGCGCTGGCCCCCGACTACCCGAGCCGTCCCGGCCTTGGGCGAGACGCTGCCGGGAAGTGGGTGACGTCTCGCCCTGGGCTAGGGTGGCCTTGCTGGTGGACGTGACGGAGACAGGCGCCCATGCCTGCACATGAAGGGTGGGAGGGAACGGATTTAAACCCTGACACGAGCCCTGCGTGGCTCGGGAGACGTGGAAACGTGTGATGGGTGCACGTGGGGGTCCGGCTTGGCCCTGACGCTTCAGCCTCCTGCCTCCCGCGGGTCCCAGGCTATTGAGAGTGTAACGTCCATTAACACTGATTTTAAAAACCCCAAGTGTTTCTTATTAGACACATGATTGTAAGTTAGTAAAATATTTATATTAGGATTTAAAAAAATTCAAATCACAGTATTGAAGATACAGTTATTCACATGGTTCTTTTTACCGTACAGTGTAAAAAACAGCGATGCCTGGACACAAACACTGTGTGCAGTCTTACCGGGAAGGGGACTGAGCGGCCGTCGTCGCTCTGAGGTACGTTTTTTTTTAAGGCTTGAAAAAAGGAATAGGAGGCCGACTGTGCTTCTGAAGAGAAGGCGTCTCCCCAAAGTGAGTGGTTTTACCTTGAAAAGATGAGTCAGTCGCTCGTCTTCAGGCCTGGCCCTGGACCCCCAGCCCTGAGGGAGCGGAGTCGGGCGCCCCCCCCCC